GCAACCTCCGCCTCCTGGGTTCAGGCAATTCTCCTGCCTCAGCCTCCTGAGTAGCTGGGATTACAGGCACGTGCCACCATGCCCAGCTAATGTTTTGTATTTTTAGTAGAGACGGGGTTCCACCATGTTGACCAGGATGGTCTTGATCTCTTGACCTCGTGATCCACCCGCCTTGGCCTCCCAAAGTGCTGGGATTACAGGCTTGAGCCACTGCACCCAGCAGTGAATGATACTTAATACCAGTGAGATCAGTGCTCCGCTAAAATGCTGTTTCTTACATGACATCAGGCTCATTCTGTCCACTGAACAGTAACTTACCTGTGATTCCAATGACTTTTTGAGATTGCCAGATATTTAAAACTACCATCCCACCAGGAAATCATGCTTTCTTTAAAAAGATATTCAGACACTTCTAAAATGAGGAAAGCACAGATAATCTGGTAGACTGCCCAGGAAGCATAACTGATTTCTCTGTCATACAGGATGCAATTCCCATAGTAGGAATAAAACAAGTTATATGCAGCAAAATTGGACAGAATTGAAGGGAGAAATAGATAGTTCTATATGAACAATGGGTGGCTTCCAAACGCTTCTTTCAATTGTGGAAAGGCTGAAACAGAAGGTAAGTGAGGAAATACAGAATGTGAACAACACAGTGTACCAGTTAGACCTCATAGACACGCAGAAAACCACCTGACAACAACAGCCATACATTCTTCCCCAGGGCACCACTTCCGCCTCCCTCATCCCCACTGCTCCGGATCCCCCTCCACAGACCCACTCCCCCCGCCAGTGTGATCCTCGAGCCCACTGTGACCCCCGCTTTGAAGAGCCTGTTGGTCCAGTCCTTCCCGCTTTCTGCAGAGCTGTTCTCCTCCTTCTAAAGAAGTCACCTGGGCCCTGGGCCCCGTCTTCCTGGCTCCACAGAGTCCCTGTGGCTGTAGGCACTGCTTCTCTCTCCTGCACTCAACCCCTCTCCCACTCCACTGCCTCTGGGTGTGCAAAAACACTGATGTGTCCCATATTTTCAAAATCTCTCCCCTGTAGTTCCCACCTGACTTCCAATAGGTGGCCAAAGTACAGACATTAATGTATATTAAGGCACACAATTAATGCATATTAATAATAACAATAAGTAATTATTATTATACATTAATGTCTTAATGTATAATGAGAAGTATAACTATTCAGAAGTCCAAGCACTTGTGTCTCCATGGTGCTATCGCCTTGCTGTGGGCAAACCTACATTGACACAGAGGCCACTTCCTGAGCTTGGACTCAGTCTCAGAGCTGGGGAACTGGCCCAGTGCAAAAGGGTCGGGAGCATCTGCAACAGAGCCTGAGCTCTGCCATCGTCGATGACACAGCCTCCACCCACCCTCCCCAACTCAACAGAGAGAGCACTCCATCAGACTTCTAAGACTTAGTAGGCCAGGAAGGGCTGAATTAAATTCTCTGAGACTTGTCTTTGGTCTGACTCTGGCAGCCTCAGTCTCCCAGAGCTCGTGGGAACTCGGCAGCCGACAGGCGGAAGGCTGGGCGACGTCGGGAGAAATAAAGGGGGAAGAAATTTGCTCTTAGGATCTGGCTTAACTCTAAACGGCACAGCCAAGACGCTGGATACCGAGCAGAGGGCTGAACGGGGGCGGGGCGGGGGCGGGGCGGGGGCGGGGCTACGGAAGCTGGCGAGGCCGAGCCCGCCTGGGGCTTCCTGACCCCGCTCCCGGAACCCTCTGAGGTGGCGGTGGATCTTACTTCTTCCCGCCAGGAGGATCCAGCGACCTGCTACGGGCTTCCCGGGTCTGCAGGTCTCTGGAGCCGGTTGGAAGTGACGACCCTGAAGATCGGCGGGAGCCGCGGGACCGAGGGGCGGGTCTGGCGCTAGGCCCTGCCCCTGCACCCGCAAGCACCCCCGGAGTAGGTGGCAGTTCAGCCCAGCTGAGGCTTCTCTGCAGAATCTGCAGCAACCAGCACCATGTCCATGACACTGGGGTACTGGGACATCCGCGGGGTCAGTGAGGGTCCGCTGGACGGTGGGACTGGGGCTTGTGGCTGGGAAGTGTCGAGCGGCTGGGAACAGGCTCTGGGGACGGTTCCTCTTCAGGGCTGTCACTCACAGGAGGGCATGTGCATTCCTGCGGAGGGGGGTGGTGTGTGGGGGGGGACAAGGGGG